TTTATTTTCGAGTGAGACAGAGACAGAGAACAAGCAGGGGAGGGACAGAGAGAGGGAGACACAGAATCCGAAGCAGGCTCCAGGCTCTGAGCTGTCAGCACAGAGCCCCATGTAGGGCTTGAACTCACGAACTGTGCCATCATGACCTGAGCAGAAGTCGGACACTCAACTGACTGAGCCACCCAGGTGCTCCCCTCCCCCAAGTTTTTAAATCCAGATTTCCTGTTTCCCTTAAAAAATAAGACCTGGGTGGGGGGGCACCTGGGTGGCTTAGTTGGTTAAGCGTCCGACTTTCACTTAGGTCATGATCTCGCGGGTCGTGGATTCGAGCTCCGCGTCGGGCTCTGTGCTGACTGCCAGCTCAGAGCCTGGAGCCTGTTTCAGAGTCTGTGACTCCCTCTCTCTCTGACCCTCCCCTGCTCACACTGTCTCTCTCTCTCTCTCCTAGAAATAAATAAAACATTAAAAAAAAAAAAAGACCTGGGAACGATCGCTCTTTATTCCAACATGGCGACAAAGTGCTGCTGCCAGTGGATGGAGTATGTGGTCTCTGTCTTTCCGTGGTCCCCACCCTTCCCTGTTGATCCAGTTAGCTGGGTTCACTCATTTGCTTTGCCTTCTTGGCCTCTATACAAAGACTTGGTTTGCGGTCGCTGCTGCACCCTGCCACGCCTTGCTTTCCTCATCCAGTCCTCTCTCCGACATGGGTCCATATCCAGATTTGCCTCATCTTTTAGTGGCTATCGTGACCCTTTGTATCTCGAACTCAGAGCATTCCCTATTATGAACTTGTGGGTTGAACCCAACTTTTCGCTATTACAAACAGTGCTGGACAGAGCGTAGTGACTATTTTTGCTCATATTTCACACACAGGCAATAACACGTCACAACAGGTTCGTACCTGCTCCAGAGAGCTGGCTGTACAAAAGTCAGGAATCTTTCTTTTCCTTTTTTTTAGATTTTATTTCTAAGTAATCTCTATACTCAGCGTGGGGCTTGCAGTTACAACTCTGAGTGAGATCGAGAGTTGCAGGCTTTACCAAATGAGCCAGCCAGGCGCCCCCAAAATTCAGGAATCTTAAGAGCCAGTTGTTAAAATGCAGGTTGCTTGAAATCAGTTATGATGGAGATATTTCCAGCGTGGGAGCTGGCAAATGCTACGAACCAGGGTGTTTTTCCTCTCCCGGAAAGCCGTTTACCAGCGGCACAACACTGCCAAAGGGGAGGCCGAAGGGTCCCGAGGGTCAGGAGTCAGAGGGAACCGCCAATTAGCACCAAGAAATCAGAACAGGCTTTCGCCAGAAAGGAGGAACTTGCGGGTCAGGGAAGGAATTGAGATCTGGGCAGCTGACTGACTTTTCCCCCCTGAAACTATGGACCCTTTGAAATAAAACCAGGGCACTCTGAGGATGGGGGTCCTTACCCATATAAGGTGCTCTCGCCAATCTTGGTTTGATACCCAAATACGCTGGTCACTAGGAATAGTGCTGTTGCCTAGAGCTGAGGGCAGAGGTTATTCCACAAGGCCAAGGTTTCCTCCTGTTTGCAGTAGTGATCAAATAGGCAAATGAATGCAGATATTTGCCAAGTCATATAAGAGCCTCTCCAAATATTAGGTGAATGTTGGAAAATGCCCGCACGATGATTTCCGCTATAACAATCACCACCCTTGCGAGGAAAAACTCAAATGCTTCTTGGTCCCAGCACAGCACCATCGCAATATCCAGTGTTTCAGCCCTGCGTGGCCTTTTTAGCCATCATTTTATGCCCCCAGGAAAGGAAAGATACAGGGTTAGGAAAAGCAGAAAGGCCCACCACTATGGATGATCATATTTGCAGAGGTTAAAGAGGCAGTGTGTCCTCATATGATTGTGAGCTTGGTTGTCTTAATAGCAGGAACCATCAGGAATAATCATCCACATTTGGGGATAATTCACACTTGATATGGAAATCTCGGAAGCAGAATGTGTCTGATTCTTGATGCTCTTTTCTCACGAGATCTTAGGGACTTTCCATCCAGGCCCTGGCACCTTCCCTCTGTTCTCCTGAGGACATCCAGACAGGACAAAGGATCCTTCCCCCCTTTCTTTCCAGATCCTTTCCTCAAGGGCACCCAGCCCCTGCACTGGTAAATGCTAGCAGCTCTCTCCTGATGTGTGCATTGTCCCCACGCAGGACGGACTCAGAAGCAAGCCAGTGCTGGGGAAGAAAGCAGGCAGCAATTCGGCAGCTCTGAAATCAGAGCCCTAAAACCAGACTTCTGCTCTCTGACAGCTCAGAGAGAGGCTGCTTCTGGCAGCGGTAATCGACGCTTCCCAAACGTGAGTTCAAGGTGGGTTAAAATGTCCCCTCTCATTATGAGATGTAGGCAGGGGGTAGTTCCTGACCAAGGAGGCCCCTCCAGACAGACGGCTTTGCTGTCGGCGGAACTAACACCATATGCACCATGTGCGGCTGCTGGGTGTCACATCGGGCGTTTGCTTCCTTCCTGCCGACCACGGGGGAACACGACCAGCGGCGGGAAGGGAGGGACGCCCTAACTCCATGCCCCTACAGAAAGCAGATTAAAATGCTTACCTAGAGGGACCTGGATGCCGACGGGTGAAGTGATTTCCAGGCAGCCCCATCCCCTCATTTCCTGGTCCCTCCTCCCTCTCCATTTTGGAAGCTCCCACCACTCAGATGAAATTCTCTGCAGGGAGACTGGAAATAGGAATTCTTTGTGCTCAGCACGGACCCGGGGCCCAGGCTCTCCACCTCCTATGGTCCTGAGCGTTCATGTTCAAGGCACCTCGGACACATGTCAGGCTTATCCCATCTAGGGTTGCCGACGGCTCCACCCTAAGTGAGGTCCAGAGAAGGGTCCCAGGTGGGGACTCACAAGTACCTGTCGTAGAACCCCCTTCCCCCCCAAATCTTGGTAGCTCATGTATTCCAGTCCATCTCCAGTTTTTAGGGGGCTCAGTAAGTTGCAGTGACTCATGGACCCTGAGTCAGGAAGCAGCCGCCATCTTGAGCACTGCTGACCGCCCAACTAGAGGAAAAGAAAGCTACCCAGGAGTCCTGGATCTACAATTAAATGCTCCAACCAGAAGTGATCTGTCGCTTCTGCATGTCACTCATTGGCCGGAATGACTCACACGGCTCCACCCAACTGGTGGGGGAGAGGAAGTGCCCTCCTACTTGAGCCTGGTCCTGGGTATTCTAAGTACCACTTCCCACTGCCTCCAGCCATTACAGGATAAAGCGCGAGTCTATGTGCATCGCATACATAAGACTTTCTGAGACCCGTCTCCTCCCAATGTTCATTCTTGAAATAAGCAGATGATTTGGCTATACTGGGCCCCACGATCTGTGCCTCAAAACTCTTAGTTGAGCTGAGAAGTGACCATCTCCTGTAGATGGAGTCAAGCTTTCCTGAAAGCCAGTGCCAATGGGGCCCATTTCACTCCTATAAAGGAGTTAATTAGTTAAGTGTGTGGCCCTTTAGAGGAGTTGGGGACCATAGGAGTCTGTCTTATGCCCCTAAAATTTCCTCAAGCTTTCTACGGCTCCCTTACTCGCTTACACTCCTGCACCCACACTGTTTCCTTGCTGCTCCTCCAGCAGCCCAGGCTTGCACACACCGCAGGGCCTTTGCACTGTGCTTTTCTCTGTCTGCCGGACACCCTCTCTCCAGAGCTCCCTGTGAACCCCATGCTTTCCCCCCCACATCCATGCTCTTTGACTTGTTGCCAGTGTGCATCTTTGGGAGACAAGTGTTAAAGATGGTGGAGCCCCAGGGGTGCCTGGACGGCTCGGTCAGTGGAGCGTGCGGCTCTTGATCTCAGGGTCATGAGTTTGAACCCCACATGGGGTGTGGAGATTATTTAAAATTTTTCAAAAATTGAAAAAAAGATGGTGGAGTCATAAAATGAGGATTCAGGGACATGGATTCCGAGATCTTCACTTGGAGGAGATGCTCCTCTGATCAGGAATTTATAGGAGCAAGAATTAACCATCTATTGGGCCAAACCACCAAGGTTTGGGACTTAGCTGTCAATGACCCTGACAGCACCCTAGTAAATGAGCCTGCTCACATTCAGGGGTGAAACGTTTGCAAGCCCACCTGTCCACGCATTGGAAGCCATGTCCTCTGATCAGTCTTCTCAGAGATAAAAACAATCATTTGTTCTCCCTCAGACACCTACATTTGTCTTTCAGTGTATTCTGAATTTGGATGAGGGCAGAAGATATTGCTTATTAAGACTCCTAAAAGCCATGGGGAGAGTGGGTGGCTCAAGAGCTGAGCATCTGACTCTGGATTTTGGCTCAGGTCATGATCCCAGAGTCGTGGGATCAAGTCCTGCATTGATCCATACTCAGCATGGAGCCTGCTTAGGATTCTCTCTCTCCCTCCCTCTGCTACCCTCCTGCTTGCACACTCTGTCTCTTAAAAAAAAAAAAAAAAAAAAAGACTCCTAAAAAAACCAACAAACCAACAACAGTTAAGGCCTGAATAATACCACTTGTGGTAATGATGAGGAGGGAAGCATAGGTCCAAGACCTCTCAAAGGACAGTGATGTGATCACACAATTGTTTTCTAGATAAAAGAGCAAACTGAAGTATTAAAAAATTTTTTTGAATGTTTTCTAATTTATTTTTGAATAATAAATATATCCGTCAGAGCAACGGCTAACATTCTTCACATTCCTTTTTTTAAAAATATTTTTATTTATTTCTAGGAGAGAGAGAGAGAGAGAGACAGCGTGATCAGGGGAGGGTCAGAGAGAGAGGGAGTCACAGACTGAAACAGACTCCAGGCTCCGAGCTGGCAGTCAGCACAGAGCCAGACGCGGGGCTCGAACCCACGAACCGTGAGATCATGACCTAAGTGAAAGTCGGACGCTTAACCGACTAAGCCACCCAGCCGCCCCTCATTCTTCACATTCTTAACAGAGCAGTGGTTCCACATTCTTAGCCACCAGGGCTTCTGATTTGAAAGCCTTGCCCCCCACCCCCGACTTGCTTCAATCTATCTTTGATCCAGAAATGCTCTAATTACCCATCTCAGCTACATTCATTAGTGATGGTGATCAGAGGTAAGGAAAGATGGAAACAGGAAATGATTCCCTTTCATACAGGCCACGGGTACTAACAAGCTCTGATGGCTTGACGTAGAGATCTCACCTCTTTGGGGCTTTCAACCCTATAGTCGCACCCTGAAACATCACCCAGACGCTACTCTAAGTAACTGCATGTTTGATCTTCCTCCCGTGAGGAGGGCCATATATACTGAGAGCTCTGAGATGAATTCCTCCTAGAAAATAGAGCTTTCAAGCTACATGAAGCTTGGGCCCAAAAACCATGACTGGTAAAAACCAACCACTTTGCCCATAGACTTTATCGTCACATGATCATATAAGGTGTAGTGTTATGTTATAATATTTTTTCATGCTGTAATGTTTCATATGGTATTTTACTTGCTTGTTATCTACCTTATAAGAGTTGAAACTCGCTGAGGGCAGGGATCTGGTATTGTCCCCTTAGATATTCTCAGTATCTATGTGAGTGTAACAGTAAGTTTTCATAATGTTTTTGGAATGAATATGTGAGTGATCTGTTTAATATCCAAAACCAAGGCATTAAAGAAAAGAGTCTGAATTCAAAAAAGTCTGGATGGTTAAAGTGAAAAATAGGAGACTAGTTAAGTATGCTTTATCCCATATATAAATTATGGGATATCCGTGTTATGGATTGTGGGATCATTTAGAGTATGTTAGGTTGAATGTAACAGAAAATGTAATTAATACTGACCGGGTGAAGGGATCACTGGAGGCAGTCATTCATCATCTTGCAAAATCTGTGGTAACATGGGCCTCCGGTTGGGTTTGGATCAGGGGCTTGATGATTTCTTTTTTTTAATTTTTTAATGTTTTAATTTTATTTCTGAGAGCGAGAGACATCATGAGCAGGGCAGGGTCAGAGAGAGATGGAGATACAGAATCCGAAACAGGCTCCAGGCTCTGAGCTGTCAGCACAGAGCCGGATGTGGGGCTCAAACCCATGAACCATGAGATCATGACCTGAGCTGAAGTCGGACGCTTAACCGACTGAGCCGCCCAGGCGCCCCAGGGGCTTGATGATTTCATCAAGCACAAGGTTTCCTTTCAGTTTGTCTGCTCCGTCTCCTATGGCAGCAGCTAGAAACAAAAGATGGCTTCTAATTCCATGACCACAAGATGGCTGCCTGATCACAAGATGGCTGCCAAGGCTTCAGCAGTTATAACTCTTCAGTCACGTTCAAAGGAGAAGATAGAGGGGCACCTGGGGCTCAGTCAGTTAGGTGTCGGCCTTTGGCTCAGGTCACGATCTCACCGATCGTGAGTTTGAACCCCACATTAGGCTCTGTGCTGACAGCACGGAGCCTGCTTGGGATTCTCTCCTCTCTCTCTGCCCCTACCCTACTTGCTCTCTCTCTCTCAAAATGAATAAACTTAAAAAAAAATTGTTTTTAAAGATTAGGCAAATTAAAAAAAAAAAAAAGAGGGAGATAGAGAATTCCTCTTCCAGATGTCCCAGAAAATCTAGCCTCTTATTAGCTTAGCTCGAGCCATGTGCCCATCCTTAACCTAAGAATTATAGCCAGGAGATTGGCTCATGTGGATTAATCTGGGTCTATGCTACATGCCCATTTCTAGTGCTGAGTAAGCTCGTAATATACATGGGCTATGTGGGGCAAATGTGGTGACCAGAATAAAAATTTAAGCACTTTCCAAAGAAAACGGAACAAAGATGTGATCTATTTTCTATGGTTACATGATTATATTTATGTAAAACAAAACAAAACAAAAAACCCAAAAGACCCCACACTATTTTCTATGGTCACGCACATATTGGTGTAAATACATACTAAGAATTCTGGAAGATCCACGGCAAACTTACAGTAGTGGTTACTTCTGTGGAGGGTCCCGAGATTGGGAATTGTAGTTTAGGGCTATTTTAAATTTACCTAGAAAAAATGACCCTCAATCAGAGGCAAGTCCGCCTTCCGGGGGCCATTAGGCAATGTCTCCAGACGTTTTTGGTTGTCCAAAGGAGGCTGGGAGAGGGGAAAAGTGCTACTGGCAACTGATGGGTGGTGGCCAGGGATGCTGCTTGACATTCAGAGCCCAGAGCAGACTTCAAACCAAGAGATATCTAGCCTAAAATGCTAATAGGGCCGACATCGAGAAACCCTGGTCTAGAACATTATAAGTTTTTTTTTTTTAAATGTTTCATTTATTTCTAGGAGAGAGAGAGACAGTGTGAGCAGGGGAGGGTCAGAGAGAGAGGGAGTCACAGACTGAAACAGGCTCCAGGCTCTGAGCTGGCAGTCAGCACAGAGCCTGATGCGGGGCTCGAACCCACAAACCGCGAGATCATGACCTAAGCGAAAGTCGGATGCCTAACCGACTAAGCCACCCAGGCGCCCCATAGAACATTCTAAGTTTTATAAGGGGATGGGATTCAAGTATTACTTGCAGAGTTAAAAGTTGATTTCTTTTCAAAAGGCTGTAGTGGATACTGTGATGTGCTGTCCACATAGGGACCGGTCCTCACTCCCCCAGCTGCCGGGAGCTGCTGATGACTCACATTTCTAGTGAATTCTTCAGAAATTGCCCCTCACTAAAGGAAGCCGCTCTAAGATTGAGTCTACATCAAGAGCATTCCGTATCCTTGAGAAGCCTCAGCACTCTTTTTTTTTTTTTTTTAAATATTTTTATTTATTTCTAGGAGAGAGAGAGAGAGACAGCGTGAGCAGGGGAGGGTCAGAGAGAGAGGGAGTCACAGACTCTGAAACAGGCTCCAGGCTCTGAGCTGGCAGTCAGCACAGAGCCTGACGCGGGGCTCGAACCCACAAACTGCGAGATCATGAGCTAAGCGAAAGTCGGACGCTTAACCGACTAAGCCACCCAGGCGCCCCGAGAAGCCTCAGCACTCTTGACCCTGTGGGACAGGACTTGCTCATTGTGGGGGCCGCCCTGGGCACCGCAGGATGCTTAGCAGCATGGTGGCCTCTCCCATCGGACGCCCACTAGTACCCCTTCTCCAGCAGCAACAACCAAAATGTCTCCAGACATCGCCAAGTGTTCTCTGGGGGCAAAATTGGCCCCCCCTCCCTGCATTAATAACCAATGCCTGGTTGGAGCGCCCGGGTGGCTCAGTCGGTTGAGCGTCCGACTTCAGCTCAGGTCATGATCTCATGGGCCGTGGGTTTGAGCCCTGTGTCCGGCTCTGTGCTGACAGCTCAGAGTCCCAAGCCTGCTTTAGAGTCTCTGTCTTCCTCTCTCTCTCTGCCCCTCCCCCACGTGTGCTCTCTCTCAAAAATAAAAAAAAAATAAACATAAAAAAACAAAAGAGAAAGAAACCAAAGCCTGGTTGATGCAGAGATGCAAAGGCCCGGCCCCCAGCCTCACTTTAGAACATCTCTGAGGGTCTCCCCAGCTTCATGGCCCCGCGGGGGACTGACTGAGGCCTTCACTGCAACTGTCTCATAATTGAGTTTCTCCCTCCGCACCCCCTTGCCCCCCTCACCCCTTCACGGCTGTTAAGCACTTCCCAGCAAAGGGTCTATCTGCAAATCTCCCTCCCAGAAACTGCTCTGGGACAACAGATCCAGGGCTGAGATCAAGGCACAGGGGGCTTAAGTGACTCGTGGAAGGAACAGGTTAGAGGTGGCTGTAAGACCACAGCACATCTCCTTATTCCGGAAATGCTCGGGAGCATTAAACTTCACGACCTTCTTCTTAACATTGGGCTCTGCTGACACCACAGTGAGCCTGCCTTTCCCGTCCCCGCTGCGACCCCGTGTGTGTTTCGAGAACTGAAGGAGCAGAACCAAAATGCCTACAATGGGAAACCTGATGGTGTTAACTTGATTCCTTTTTCTTTATGGCTCCTAAGCTGCATACCTTACAGAAGCATTTGTCTGTGAGCTCTTTCAACTAGTTGATGGGCAGCAGGTCCAGACATGTAGATATTTCAACCTCAAGTAATTAACATGACTGCTGAAAGGCCGTCTGTCTGGAAAACTTTTTCCTTTGGGTAAAAATATGGATGTGAGATAAAAGACCCATGTGAACATCGTGGTTGTGACAAGGTCATTCCTCGGTGGGAGCATCCATTTCTTTTTTTCTTTTATTTATTTTTCTTTTTAAAAAACTTTTTAATGTTTGTTTTTGAGAGAGAGAGAGAGAGCACAAGTGGGGGAGGGGCAGAGAGAGAGAGGGAGACACAGAATCTGAAGCAGGCTCCAGGCTCTGAGCTGTCAGCACAGAGCCTGACGCAGGGCTCGAACCCACACACTGTGAGATCATGACCTGAGCCGAAGTCGGATGCTTAACCCACTGAGCCACCCAGGAGCCCTGGGGAGCATCCATTTCTAACAAGTTATACAGTTAGAAGTTAGAAGGCCGTGGTCTGCTGTGAGAGCTCTTACTATAGCAATAATTAATGCAAATAATGTACATTAGTTTAATCATTATATAATATATACTAATAATAAACATTAATTGAGCCATTGCTATATATCCCAGGCACATGGTTTTTAAAAACTATTTGTTTATTTTTGAGAGAGAGATACACATCGTGCAAGCAGGGGAGGGGCAGAGAGAGAGGGAGACACAGGATCCAAAACAGGGTCCAGGCTCTGAGCTGTCGGCACAGAGCCCCATGTGGGGACTGAACCCATGAACTGCGAGAACATGACCTGAGCCAAAGTCAGACGCTTAACCGACTGAATCACCCAGGTGCCCCTGTCAGGAACATGTTTTGCATATGCATATACATATTTCTGTATTCTATTTTCATATGTCATTAAATATACTACATACTGTACTGTATTAGTATGTATTTTGCATACTATATGTAATACTTATATAATATGACATGTTATGTATCATGTCTCTGTAAGAGAGGTATTATTGTCTTGCCCACTGGCTGCTGAGGAACCTGAGGCACAGAGAGGTTAAGTAACTTGCCCAAATTCCCACAGCTCTTAGGTGATAGAGCGTCTCCAGCCTGCATGACTGCTTGTAACTTTCAAAAGTTATGGTTCAAA